GGGAAAGAGAGTTAAATCTCTTTGTTTCTCCACTTTCTTTCCCCTTCAGGCAAAAGGAAAAAGCTTATGCAGCTTTAACAGAGATGGAGTGGAGGGGGCCACATATGAATAGAAATAATTGAAAACTGACAAGTGGCAACATTTGCTGTTCCATGGCATAAGGCTATATTGCACTGAAAGAAGTAATCAAAAATATCAGCAAAACTAGTAAATTGTGCATTGCTTTTAGTGCCTTCTAATGCAGATAATGCGTCTGCAATACCTCTGATAAAATGTAAGAATTATAAAATCTTTTGGAGATCCAGTGAAGCTCAACTGAAAGCATTCTCTCCATTTGAAATTATTTTTTTTTTAACCCAGGTCCTTGTTCCTTTCTATAGGCAAGGAAAGGCCTGCTTGTTTGGCTTAGGTTGATAGAATACCTGCGTCTGAGGTAGTCTTTCAAAACAGAAGGTTTAAGTTCAATAAAGAATGTTTTCTAAAAATAAAGTTTGTAAGATTCTTCATCAAGTTTTTGTTTTGGTCAGAGAACAGTTTCAGTGATAGTGAAGGCTATTAGAATATTTTTGAATGTGTTACAATTGTAAGTTTACCCAATAAACACAGAGTAGCATATATTCCAATGCACTCATTGAGCCCTATAGCTTAATTATTTTTCTGCTTCTGGTATAAAAGTAGTTAAGATGAATAGTTTTGGCATTGCTAGTGAAAGATATATGTTTAGGGGAGTGGTGGCAGATATATTAGGACTGTGGCATGCTAAAATACAACCTGGCTGATGTAACACAACGCATGGAGACATGCTGGAATAAGAAACAGTGTGTACCCAGAAGATTCCTTTCTCTCTTGTAAAATTAATCAAGAAATGTTTTGTAAAACTCCCATCAGTTGTATAATCTCTGCAAAATTGTATTTACCATAAGTTTTTGGTTCTTTATTTTTTTTCCAGGATCATTAATAATACAGGGCTTTTGTTACTAAGTCATTCTAAATTTATAAATTCTTGTTACTGAAATTAGATGAATGCTCTTATATTTTCTTAATGAGACTGCCTTACTGAAGTCAGGCTATATAAATCTATATCAGTATAATATACATTTATATGTATATATATACAAATGTGTATTTTCAGGGTCGGACTACATGATCTCTTGAGGTCCCTTCCAACCTCTAACTTCCTGTAATTCTGTGATATACATACGTTGCAGCAGGGCGTTGTGAAAATTTTCAGCTGTGAGTCACTGGTGTACGCTGTATATGGAATTTTTTTACTTTACAAATAGGGGATTTACTATTGTGAAAATACAGCCACGTTCATAAAGCAGTGGCAGTGCAGCTGGTTTTCCATTAATGATGCCGCTAGTCTCTTCTCTTTTAAGAATGCATATAAGAGCACACCAATCTTGTCCAAGAGAAAGAAAAAGAGGATTTTTATTTTGCATAATGCATCCTCTAAGAGTCTTTTTCTTATTTTTTTTTTAGTTATGTTCATATCTGATAATGAAAGTTTCAACCCATCTCTGTGGGAGGAGCAGCGGAAACAGCGTGCTCAGGTGGCATTTGAGTGTGATGAAGACAAAGATGAGAGAGAGGCACCACCTCGGGTCAGTGTTTGATTTATTTTTGAATGCTTGGTGTTTCCTTCCATCTTCCCTCCATCCCTGAATTCCATCATTTTCTTTACTTTGGCTGTAGATTTTGCTTTGCTGAAGAAATCAAGTCTCCAGTTACTAATTAAGAGTGTCTAACAGGATGAAACACTGTGGTTTTGGGGGATTTTGGGGACCTTGGTTTTGTTGTTGTTGGTTTTTTTCTAAATAATTTAAATGAAGCACAAGAGAAAAACTCTCAGCTGTTGTAAGGCAATGTTGTGCATAACTAGGAGACTGCCTGTCTGGTGATGCTGTGGAGAAGGACAGTGAGAAACAATAGTTAATCCTGTTTTTGCTTTAAATTACAGTTGTTGTAATTCCTCCTGCTTGCAATCAGTGGACACACTTGCTGGGTTTTATAAACTTAAGTCTGCATCAGTGCAGGCAGACTTGAACACTGGAGTGGAGATCCTAGATTGTTCAGTATTTTATCCTAATTCATTGTCTGTTTTAAAGTCGATGTTTTAATTGTGGCATTTAATTAAATGTGGAACATGATTGTTTTTTGTTGTGTAGGAAGGCAACCTTAAGAGATATCCAACTCCATATCCAGATGAACTGAAGAATATGGTCAAAACAGTCCAGACAATTGTACACAGACTAAAGGATGAAGAGTCTACTGAAGATACTGCCAAGGAGTCAAAACGAGAAGGCCAGATAGTTTCTGTAAAAGATGTGGGGGTAAAGGTTAGAGATAATAGTCTCTTCTGACATTACAAGAATTTCCAAATACCTAGAATGTTGTTGATTACTTCTAATTCTTCTCTCACTCCCCACTAATGCTTTAGTAAGGAAGGTTGTCAGATTAAAGAACAGGGCTTAGGTCTTCACTGTCCAGGGTAGTCTGTAAATAAATGTCTAGTTTACAGTAGCAGTTTTCCTCTCACTCTAGGAACAAGGAAACTGACTTGATTCTCAGGCAAATACAAACTATGTGTTAAGAAACTGGCTTATTCTGAGATACTCTGATCCTCTTTTATCTGCCAGACTTCACAATGAAATTTAGGGTAGACACTAAGGATCATACTGCTGCCCTTATGACTGGAGGTTTTAAATGCTAAGTTGGTAAAGAAGTCATAGCAAACTGACACAGGTGTCGGGAGTCTCTTAAGTTGATGCAGCATGACAGGTGATAGGGCTACTATTTGGTGCCAGTGTATCTTACTGTAGATGTTCTTGGCTTTTTTTTATTTTACTAGAAATTTAATGCTATAAATTGACCCCAATAAGGAGGAGAGTCAAAGTGATTGACAAAGGGTAAGGAGTGTGACCTGCAGAGATTTCTTTGCGTTTCATACCTGGTACATTTCATACTCTACTATTTCAAAGCTCAGATTTTCCTTTGCATAGTTTTCCGGAATATACAGTGTTAACTCTAAATATCTTATGTTACTGAAAACGTTTCAGAATGTTTTTTCTGCTAATGTTCTTAATCCTGTAGACTTCAGAAATTGCTTCAATAAAAAACAAAGCCGATGA